TATATATATATATATATATTCAACATTTATAATATACGCATAAAAATGTATACCTAACATCCCTAACATCAATTGCAAAATGTTATAATGCAACAAAATTATTTATACGCGCAACTTTTTATCTGCGAAGAATCTTAACTTAAGTATGTTCGTATATATATATATATATATATTCAACATTTATAATATACGCATAAAAATGTATACCTACCATACCTAACATCAATTGCAAAATGTTATAATGCAACAAAATTATTTATACGCGCAACTTTTTATCTGCGAAGAATCTTAACTTTTTGTTTTCAAGTATGTTCTAATGTGCATGAAAGTTGCCTTTTAGTTTAAAACAAACGCAATTGTACCTTCGGAGTTTCCTTTCTCGAAATAGTCGCAAACGATATTCTTCTCTCGCTTTAATAGAATGCATCTAACCTACGTCGCATTGCTTGAAACTTGCAAAATATTCTCTAAAAGTTGCGGCTATGCACTGTTTCGAGGTCACGTTCCTAGCTAGAGACTGGCTGAAAAATGAATCTTCTTTCCATAGTAAAGCGAGATAGGTGCCGTGACAGTCATACATTTCGTACGAGATCTTCCTCATTGTCAGTTTGACTTTTTTTTAGTGGTATTGCGTGTCGACTATTACATGCAGACACGTAGAATTGCCGCCGCTCCATATTTCATAACGATGAATTAAAATTAGGATTAATGTAGACTCTGCAAACTTATTAATTAATTATTGAGCCAAATAACGCGACTATATCTGTTAAATATTACGTAGTGTTCCAAAATTAAATACTAACTTTATTGTAAATGCGATTAATCGTCGTATAGATTATATCTTTATAAGTCTTTATTTCCTGCTTTATCACGTTGGTTAGAATAACGTGTTAAATATAGATAAGGCGATATCGTTATAATGCCAAAATTGAACGATTAAGCTGTTTCGATTAAATAAGCGTTCAACAGAATTGCGCCAAAACGGTGATGAAATTTTAATTTCGATAATCCACCCTTCTTGTATTTTCGGCGCGAGTCTTTCCCCTACTTTTGTGTGTCAAATCAAGTATAATATATTCTTATGTTACCCTCGGGTCCTTATATCCTAACTACCCGAAGTAAATAAATCATCGCGCCGCCTCAATATATTAAGCTATGATTACTCACGTTAAATAAATGATAAGCTCAGTAATTATTACGTTGAAAAGCAATTTGTAATTGCTCGTTAAGTAGTAGAAAAAGATAATTACTCTCAACTGCTCGGATGTAATAATAATTTATAATTTATCATAATCGCGACTAAACATCCCCCGTTGTTTAAGAAACATAATATGAACTATTATATCAAATATAAAACATATATCAAATAAGAAAAACGAAATAATATGTGGTAATATATATAATATACATATATTAAGGATACATGGAACTATTATATACATGGAAAGGATTAGCCTATCGCGTATACGGCGAGAGCCTATAAAGGGAAGGACATTCTATGCAGAAAGGGGTCGCCGCTTGAAGCATGGGATAAATACAGGAGACGTTAATAAAGTCTTATCGGCGTGAGGCCATGCGTGTCGACTTAAAGCCATGGACGCACTAATCCGCTATGCTAATGTCAGTCGGCCGGGAAAACAGTCGAGTAAGGTAATGCAATTTTCCCGGACACACGCGTATCTGCATAGAACACAACATGTATGTATGTATATATTCAACTACGTATGGGAATAGCATGGGATTGCACGGGATACTTTTGACCGGAGAAAAAAGCTATGCGCGCTCAAATATCGGAGTTCTTACAACTTACGGAAAATAATCATGTAAAGAAAGTTTAAGTAACTGTTCTCAGAAATGGTAACAGAATTTGAAGTTTTCCCAAGTGTCATTTTTTTATACTTCGATAGCTTTCCGAAATATCTTTTATTTTCAATGGCAAAAACTCTCATGATGTAGAAAAGAACGAGAACAGAAAAAAAAAACAAATAAATTTCACGATACGTATTCGGCATATTATATTTACGGCACTGACAGAACGTAATCTGGAACATTGTATAATGCAAAGCAAATCAGGAAGGAGATAAGGATTTGACAGGGTAATAGCCTTGCGAATAAAGTCCGAACTGACGTAACATAAGAGCGCATTACGAGCGACGTATAACATCTCATCTTATAATATGACTTATGTGTATTCTTTTTTTATGTAATGTCTTTCTTAAATCTTTCTCCTTTGAGATGCCAGATGAATCATATTTGATTCTATTCTTATGTCGTGCTTTGTTTGTTTTTACGACAATTACATCAATGCGTATAAATAATAAATAATATAAAAATGATACAAATTGTTTTTCTAAAAGGATGACAAATTGTATGTTATTTATTGCATAAAAATATCACGGTCTGTAATGAGATTAAAAGTATATTTCGTAGAATTTCAAAGTATATTCGCATATATACGCAAATGAAATTAATATTCACAAATTAAAATCATATATTTGCCAATGGTAATTTTTTAGTACAAAATAATAATGCTGATTAGATCAGATATGCGTGTAGCGCAATGAAAAATTATAATGTGAATAACATTCTGATAAATATAATAAACAAATATACTATAAATAACAAAGTTTTGTCTTTTAATTGATAACAATTTACGTAACTCCTGAGCAAATTCTCATATAATTTGTCTGAATTTGTCATTATTATAAATACTTGAATTTGTCATTATTATAAATAATCGAGAATTCGCGTTTCTATATCCTTACCAAACTGATTGTAAATTAAAAGAGTATTTAAAAGAGTGGCTTTATTCATTTACGCAATATAATGTTCATTTAAATTCCATGCAAACATATTGAATCGATGTACATACTTTTTGGCTAACTAGAACATCATCATAAGATATTACTCGTTTACTCAATTTTTTTTCTCACGTACGACTTTCTATAATAGTCTAAGAACATATAAAACATGATGGCAATTTGAGACATGTAAATGTATGCTAATGGTTTCCGCGCTGGCTCGCAAGATGGTAGAAGCGCTTGGAATGTATGAGCCATCATGATAGCAAATTGGATCTGAAATAAGAAATATTGACTGATAAACGTGCAAAGACGCACATGTTTGTCACCATTTTTTAAATAATATATTGTATAATCAAACATTTAATATAATATTTTAATATAAATTTTTAATATAATATGATTCTTATCATGCACGCAAGCTATTTTATACTTAGTTAAAAACTTGCAAAAGCGAAATATATTAATAAAATTTCCGAAAGAAATGTAAATAAATATTTGCTTACGAACCATGTAAAAATAGCAAAACATACAATATTTATTTAATATATGTTTGACAAGCTTTATATATATAAAACCTGCGATATATGTATTGCATGTAAAAATGCATTTTGCCCTCGTCCAACCACTGTCAGGAATTCTAGAGCGCAAAAGCTCCGCGCGAAATTAAACAACTACGTAACCCGATAAATCGTTCCGTCGATATCGCCGGAAATAAAAATTCTCTGGTAACGGATTATTTAATTAAAAACGGTACCACGAGCCTTCGTCCACCCATTTCATCCCGCCCCTCGCTGTTACGCTCAAATGCAAACCGAATTGGGATTCGAGAGAACACGTGTGATTCTGCAAGCAGCGCTTACGGAGCTTTTCAATCCCTCGTGAAAAGCCAGTTATCAAGTTATGGGAGCGCTGTAACCACAATGAAGTTCCCATGTATGAACATATCACGCAAAACGCGCTATTTTGTATGCCCGCATGAATCTGGAATACTTTGTAAAACTATTATATAAAAAGCGAACGTAACAATCTAATTATTTTGAATAATCGATGGTTCAAAATTTGTCGGGACACTGCAACACAACAAATATAAATTGACGTAAAATAGCTACGTACCAATTGCAAACATGTTAAATATTTCTTCCAAGGAGTGACTGTCTTCTGCATTTTGGGCCCCAAACAAGTACAGAAATAATAAACGTACATGATTACGTGCACTGCACAATTGGGCAACATTATAAAGGTCCACATGCCACCTGTGTACATATTGTTTTATCTAATCATTACCTGCGATTGTGTGTCATAATTATAAATATAAAAAAGTAAATCTCTTTAGAAATAAACTAATATATTTACAGCATATATTTCATTATAAATCTTTTTCAGCTGAGATATGAATAAATCATTGACTCAATTTTCTTCCAAAAATTATTTAAACTCTTGCTATGTAATGCATACCAGGTGCATATTTACAAGAGATCCACGCCAAAAAGAGAGTTATTGTGTGATGATACACGTGAAGAAATGACGTTTGATTATATTTTTTCCTGAGGATAAAAATCACAGTATCTGCAAGCTCGGTGATTTTTAGAATTAAAATCCACCATACCCATCGAGCCATCTATAAAAAATAAAATTTTATATACACGCGCGCGCAGACACAGTTTATATATAAAAAAATTTCTATATTAAATTTTTTAAATTGATCAAATTTTAATTTTATTTATGTTAAAAATTCCTAAAGTTTTTGTAAGGATATTTT